CATTCGGGTTCCCCTTCTGGGCCTCCTCTTGGGGCCATCCTGGGGCCCCTCTTGGGCCGTCCCGGGGGCCTCTTGGGCGGTCTGGGGGCCCTCTTGGGCCGTCTTGGGGCCGTCTTGGGGGCCTGTTGGGCCGTCCTGGGGCGATCTTGGGGGCCTCTTGGGCCGTCGTGGAGCGTGGGTAAGCCGAAATGGCGTGAACGTGAAAATCCTTCAAAAACCATTGGAAAATCAATGATTTTTGCTTCTCGGGGCTGTTTTGGGGGTGCTCTTGGAGCCCTCTTGGGCCGTCTTGAAGGCGTCTTGGGCCCTCTGGAGGCCATCTTGGGCGTCTTGGAGCGATCTGGAACCGTCTGGAGGCTCTCTTGGACTGCTCGGGACTCTCTTGGACCGGCTTGGGGCGCCCTTGGGTCGTCCCCGGGCCGTTTGAGACTTTGAGGGGGGGGGGGGCGGCGGCAGAGTGGGGCCCCCTCGCAGGGACTTTCAGGAGGTTTTTGACCAGGCACTGGAGAAGGGGGCCAAAGACTGTGCCAGACACTGTGTCAGAGAGGTCTCGCACGGCCCAACCCGCAGGGCGGGAGCGGCCGGATCTAAAGGCTGCCGCCTCTGCCGCCGACCCCAAAAACGTCCATCGAGGTTTGTTCGCCTCCTGTACGAGTTCGAATCAGTTGTTGCCTGTCCATATGTTGGTGTTTGAGTATGTGGCCGAAACAGATGACGGCATGCGACAGGGCCGCGCGAGGGACACCGAATATGGGTTCGGAGTATCATGCATCTAGTGGTCTTCGGCTCATCCCGCCACTGTGCCTGGTCTGATAGTCAGACACGTCCAGGTGGAACCAGGAAAGTACACAGAGATTCCAGTATGTAAGAACCTTCGAGCGGGAGCCTCATCTGTGAGTGAGTCGCGAGGCTGTCTTGAGCGGGAGCCCTCTCGCTATGGGGCTCGCACATGCGAGGCAATCCGAGGGGGGCATCGGATATTTGTAGCTTTCGTTTTTGTTCTTGGGTTCCTCAGGGTTACAATTTTGAAGTTTCAAGCGGGAGCTTCGTCGGTATGTGAATCGTGTGCAAGTCTTGAGCGAGAACTTTCAGAATGCATCCGAAACCCCAGAGGTTCCAGAGCCATTAGGAAACCGTAGGAGGGCCTCGGGAGTTCTCAAGGAGACCGCGGGGTCACAAGACGAGACAGGAGGCCCACGGGGGAAAATGCCGGCGGAGGAGGAGGAGGAGGCAGGATGAGGAGGGGGAAGCACGGAGAACGATGTGGAGGAGGATGGAGAGGGGCAGGAGGCAGGAAGAGATGGAGGAGGAGGATACATGAGGCAGGGGGCAGGAGGAGGAGGAGGAGGAGAAGGAAGAGGACGTAGGAAACGGAGGAGGCGCAAAGAGGCAGTGGAGGAAGCAGGAAACGGAGGAGGAGGAGGTGGAAGAGGAGGCATCATAATGAAACACTATGATGGGGGAGCGGGCAGGAGGAGGAAAGAGGAGGTGGCAGGAGGATTTCCCCAGGCATTCTAAACAGATTCTCGTGTGGGGTCCTACCGTCGCAGAGCTGTTTGCTTTGCGGGGTCCCACTGGGACTCCTTGAGATCTTCTGGGTGTTCGTTAAGGCTTTCGCGGAACTCTCCTGCAAGGGTTTTGCAGTACACAAACGAACTCCTGCAATTTGAGGCTCCATGTCTGGTTCTTGCCTCGGGCTTCTGGGGACCATCCACGAGGCCCACACAGTTTTTCAACACATGTCGTAATTTTGGAATCCATTTTTTGTTGTTGTTCTGATCCGTTTCGGCTCCGCTTCCCCCGCTCTGGGCCTTTGGGGTTTTGGGCACTCTTAGGCTTTTTTCCTCAAAAGGTTTGGCCATGATCATGGTTCTCTTTTAGGTTCTCCCCCCTGTGTCGATCTGAGCTGGGCCGGCGGAGTTGTATGTGATAAATGCCGATGCCGAGGCGGGCTTACGGAATTGAATTGTGAGGGTGTTTCGAGCGACGCGCGTTTTTTGGCCTGTTTTTATATAAACAACTTCCGCTCGTTACATAACGAGGTCAATTGGGATGTGTTGCTTGTTTCAGATTTCTCGAGCGAAACGCTCGTTTTCCAGAATTTGTTCAGGATGGTCCCGGCGAGCCACTTGTGTCGGAGCTTTGCAGGTACCTGGCCGCCCAAGATCTGCGTTGGGCCCTGGGAGCGCGGACGCAGCGTCATGCGCGAGGGATCGTGGCCCTGGGCGCGTGGATTCCGCTTAGGATCGCGGCCCAATGGGTGCGAACTTAGCGTCATTTACGGTGCATTGCGGCTCTGGGAGCGTGTAGCCCGCGTGATTCACGCGGGATCCTCGCTCTTGCTGCGCGGCGCCAGCGTCGTTCCTAGAAGATCTTGGCACTGGGAGCGCGAAACATGCGTAATTGACGGTGGATTGTCGCCTTGGGAGCATGCACTCGTTTTAGTCTACGATGGGTCGTGGCGAGGACGATGAAGATTTGCTTGTTGCTGCGGTTCGACATTTTATGTTTCTTTGTCTCATCTCTTCTACTCTTCTTTTCTTTTTCTTTTTCCGAGGAAGAGGAGGAGGAGGAGGAGGAGAAGGAGGAGGACGACGACGACGACGAGGACGAGGACGAGGACGAGGAGGAGGAGGAGGACGAGGACGAGGAGGAGGAGGAGGAGGAGGAGGAGGAGGAGGAGGGGGAGGAGGAGGAGGAGGGGGAGAAGGAGGAAGAGGACGGATACCGTTGTCGGGTCTCAGGATCGTTGGACATCGACATGGCATGAAATGCAGCGACAGCTGGATGTTGGAGAGCTCCGCGGAGAGATTCTGAACGGATGTCGTTTACTTTCTTGTCCGACTAGGATTCGGAGGAGGAGGAGGAGGAGGAGGAGGAGGTGGAGGAGTAGGGCAGATGATGAGGGCGAGGCATTCGGTTTCGCGGCGGGTTCTTCGGAGGCTGCGCGGCGGCTCTCCGATGCTTCCCCGGAGGCCATCGCGAAGACATGCGGGTGTTCAAACCCGGGAGCGGGTGTGCAGTTTTGCCATTCATTCTTCAGAGAATTATTCTGAATATTGCATGCGACGGGCCAAACATCCTCCACGTCGGGCGCGGTCCTAGTGCGACGGTTGCCTTCGAGTTCCTCCAGCGCGGGACGGGCGCGCGCGCGGGAGGGATCGCCGCGCAGTTTGCGGAGGGCGTGCTCCGCGCCAGCGCGGGCCTCTCCGGGAGCTGCAGGGCGTCTTCGCCGAGCGAGCCCCTGAGTGGCACGCGGAGCGCTGGGGGGCCCCGTCGCTGTTCAGTCTGTAGCGCAGCCTTCTGTCGTCAAGGTTTCAGGGCACGGTGGGGGTCAAGGTGGAGGGTCGGGGCCGAATTCAGGCCAGGAATTGTCGCGTGGGGGGGCTTGAAGAACAGAGGGTCTGGGCGGGGAAAATATGTCGGGGCACGGTGGGGTCAGGGTGGAAAGTCGGGGTGGATTCAGGCCAGGAGTTATCGCGTGGGGGATCCTCGAACAGAGGTTCTGGGCGGGGGAAATTCCGGGACGCGGCGGTGGTCAGGGTGGGGGGGCGGGGTTGATTGCGCGACGGAAATGGTTGGGCGGGGGACCGCAAAAACAGAGGTCCTGGGGAAGATGCCGGGGCACGGTGGGGGTCAGGGTGGGGGGTCGGGGTCGATTCCAAGCTAGGAATTGTCGTGTGGGGGGGGTGGGGGGGGGCCAGACGTTCAGGGCGGGAAGGACGCCAGGGCACGGCGGGGGTCAAGGTGGGGGGGGGGGGTCGGGGTCGGTTCCAGGTCAGGAATGGTTGCGCGGATGGGCCCAAGAATAGGCCGGGGCACGGCGGGGGTGAGGGTGGGGGGTCGGGGTCGATTCCAGGCCAGGAATTGTCGTGTGGGGGGCCCCAAAACAGAGGTTCAGGGCGAGGAGATATCGGGGCACGGCGGGGGTCAACGCGGGGGGTCGGGGTTGATTCCAGGCCAGGAATTGTTGGTTGAGAGGCTTGAAAAACAGAGGCTCTGGACGGGGAAGATGTGGGGGCACGGCGGGGTCAGGGTAGAGAGTCTGGGTGGATTCCAGGTCGGGAATTATCGCGCGGGGGGATCCACAGACAGAGGTTCTGGGCGGGGACACTTCCGGAACACGGTGGGGGTCAGGGTGGGAGGTCGGGGCTGATTGCGGAACGGGAATGGTCGGGTGGAGGACCCCAAGGGCAGAGGTCCTGGTTGGGGAAAATGCTGGGGCACGTTGGGGGTCAGAGCGACGGGCCCGGATCGATTCCAGGCCAGGAATTGTCGTGTCGGGGGCCCCAAGAACAGAGATTCAGGGCGGGGAAGATACCGGGGCGCGGCGGGGATCACGGTGGGGGTCCAGGTAGAGATGCGTGGGCGATGTGTGCGAATGAATCATCGCCAGGCCAAAAGCTCCAATCCTAGAACAGGGTCGGATGCGGGCAGGGTTGGCGGCTCGCGCACACGCGCGCACGCACGCACGCACGCACGCACGCACGCACGCACGCACCGCACCGCACCGGACCGCACCGCACCGCACCGCACGCACGCACGCACGCACGCACGCCCGCCCGCCCGCCCGCCCGCCCGCCCGCCCGCCCGCGCACCCGCCCGCCCGCCCGCCCGCCCGCCCGCGCACCCGCACCGCAACGCAGCAGACGCGCACGCACACGCGCACGCGCACGCGCACGCGCACCCGCACCCGCACCCGCACCCGCACCCGCACCCGCACGCGCACGCGCACGCGCACGCGCACGCGCACGCGCACGCGCACGCGCACGCGCACGCGCACGCACACGCACACGCACACGCACACGCGCACGTGCACGCACACGCGCACGCGCACGTTCACGCACACGCACACGCACACGCACACGCACACGCACACACACTTGTCCACACCCGCCTCCGGGGTCGGCGGATACAATATAATATAATATAATTGAAAGGCGCAGTTGTTGCAGGGACGGGCTCCTGCAGCTGGCCCTCCTCCCCTCGCGACACAGCAGGAGAAGGCGAAGGACCCCTTCGCGGGCCTGCCGCAGGAATCGCAGCTCGGCCTGCAGCAGCTGCTGCAGCAGGCGAGGGACGATCCCATGGCGATGATGGACGAGGACCAGAGAAGAAGAACGTCAGAGGAGGGCCGTTTGAGACCGCTACCTTTCCCTAGTTCCCCACATGCTTCGTGGGGTTCTGGTCTTCTTCCCTTCCGCGTCTCATCCGCGTCTCCTCCTTCTCCTCCCTCTCCTGCGCATTCTCGACACCACAAGGGGTGCGCAGGGGGTGGTCTCTCACCGCGGCCGCTATGCACGACGGTCGTCCAGGCACAGCAGGCGTGGCACATTCTCGACACCACAAGGGAGTGCGCAGGGGGTGGTCTCTCACCGCGGCCGCTATGCACGACGGTCGTCCAGGCCAGGCACAGCGGCCGCTATGCACGACG